ACTTGACCTGGTTGTTGCAGGTTACAGATCAAGATAAGGACACAATTCTCAGCATACGTTGAGAAAAGGAAAAGCAAGGGCTGTGTTTGTGTGGTGGTGGTTTCAACAGGAGTCTCGAAAGACAAACTCTGAGTGGATTCTCGTTGGGGCATGCGAAACCAGGGCCTACAGGGCCATGAGGCAATCATACAGGCACTCCAACACTCTGGCTTCTGAATAACTTTTCCATGCTTGGCAAAGTACATCCTTTGGACTGAACAAAACAATCCCCGGTCTTGAGAAGAGGGTGGTTTCCAGTTGCCTCACTGCCACTGTTTCAAGCTGTAAAGTCCCTGTTGTGGTTTTGGTTCTCCCTTGGATGATGACTCGAACCCACCAAGGCTTTCATTATCCTTGCACCGAAGTTCCCCCACAAAACATACATATTTTCAAACTTACATCTGCTTCTATTACCCAGCATAACACGTTATACACATATTATACATCTGAAAATAAATTGTACCTATAAATACCAAACTGCACATTAGAATACACACATACATGATACAAATGAATCTACAAAATCTGACAGCAAAAAGCAGAGAATACGAATTAAGGAAAATAAACATTAAATTATATAACGAAATTAGGACTATTTATTCATCCTTAGAGAGGGAACATCCAGTGAAGGGGAGTTTGGGCAGATAAATTTTCCTGCTAAGAACATCTGCCATATTTTAATGCACATGTGGTTGTTGCGTTTACCCTGGTGTTTCCTGCAGTAGATATATAATTTGTGAACAACACAAATGCATCTACATATATTTCTGTATTAAATGTTTTTATCCTGGCCTTTCTTTACCCCAAAAGCTGTTTTTTTAGGTGTCTGACCTATTTAAAAATGATTAAAATTGAGACCTAAATATCACAGTTTTTAAGAACAGTAAAATAGCAGAAAATATACCTGGCAAGAGGCATAAAGCCCGTAGATTTAAGATCAAAACTATCATACAGAGAGGAAGGAAAAAGAAAAACAGTCTGGGAGAATAAACAAGGCTTTGCCTGACGCCAGAATGACAACAGAACCAACACTAGGCAGGCATGCAAGGCAAAGGCATTGCAAAACTGGTGCGCCACAACTGAAAAGGCCCCGCTCTTTGCTACTCCCTTCATTTTCAAAAAAGACGGGAGGTGATGCAGGGTCTCAGAAGGCAGGCAAACACACATGGAAGAAAGCAGTCTTTTAGATATCCCAGAACCAATTTCCCAGGCATGGTCCATGTCATACATACAGGCATGTTATATGTTCCCGAAAGAAATACCAGTACAAATAAGTTTGCCACGTAAAGTGTGAAGCTCACAGCATTGCCAATGGTTAAAGATGCTTGCCCTGCACAGCAATCTTAAATTTATCCAAAAAAATACAGAGGTCATTAGACTCAATACATCCAAGAGTGACTGAACTTGGGCATTTTGCTTCTGTGCCAATTTAGAAGAATTGTGCATTCTAGACCCACTAAATCACACAGACCCATTGTGACCACTCCAATTAACAAAGGTAGCAGAGAAGTCTGAGGGTGTGGCGTCAAAAGCCACATCTACAAACAACATCAAACTCTGGGATGGCAGAAAATAAAATAAAAATGTTTCTGTTTCCTCTGCACAAATAAGTGTCTTGCAGTTACTTCAGTGAATGTGAAATATACATCTGCTTCTACTGCATTAAGGTTTTGCAGTATATAGGCTTATAAATAACACAGATCTCCTCAGCAGGACAAAAGCCAATAGCTTCATTTATGTAAACAGAGCATGAAATGGAAGTATGCTTGGCCACAGTAGCATGGTCTCACAGTATTTTGGGTTTGTTTGTTTTTTCAGCTCAACCATGACCAGCAGTGGGCCACACACCATTGCAATGACTAAAAAAAATGTATCCTGCATTTCTTGATGACAGGAATGCTGGCAAATCCAAAACTGGCTGCTAGGACAGCAAAACGTGGGCAGGAGAAAAACAGGATCATCTGCAGGAAATGCGGTAGCAGCTGCAGTTCTTTTCTTTTCTTTAAAGTACAATCCAAACTGAAGTGTAACAAGCCAATTTAATTCTTGGATAGGGAGTTTATGAGTCACAACTCTTCTCCCTCCCCATTATGATGTGAAGATTCACCTTCCCATTTGTGAGAAAACATAGTCACGTTCTATGCCCATTTATTGTCCGTTTGTCACCCAGACTACACCTCAGGAAGCCATGAGGGACACTTTTATTGCAGAATATCCACAGCACTGCGGAATTGGACAGGACACATACTAAAGCACCACAGCCTGATATTTAAAGAGTTCCAGTCACCCATGCGACTGCCTCTTGCGATACAATCACAGCAGAAACTGTTCAAAACCACAACATCTGTAGTAAACCAGCTCTATGCAAAGCCACCATTTTAGAGCCCTGCTGGATCAAGTCAAACAGCCACCTAGCCTAGTACCCTGTTTCCAACAGGGATCAGCCAGATCCTTACAGTGCCCATGGCTCATTGGTAGCACATCTGCTCAAGACACCGAAGGTCCCTGATTCAATCCCTGGCATCTCCCGTTGAAAGAATCAGGGAGTAGGTGATGCGAAAGACCCCAGCCCGAGACCCTAGAGAGCCGCTGCCAGTCTGAGTAGACAATACTGACCTTGATGGATCAATGGTCTGATTCAGTATAAGGTGGCTTCCTGGGGAACCCACCAGCATAGTGCAAATGCAGCAGCCACCACTTGGCCTTGCCCCCCCCCCCACAACTTGCATTCACAGATACACACTACCGTTGTATGCAGTGAGTCCATTAAGCTCCCAGTGTTAATAGCTGACGATCAAAGCTACCTGCCACAAATGTCTCTAAATCCCTTTCAAAGCCACCTAAAACCAGTGGCCATCTCTACATCTTGTGGCAATGAGTTCCAGAAACCAAACATGCACTGCGTGGCAACGTACTTGCTTTCCCCTGTCCTACGTGTGCCGCACATCAATTTCATTTATAGTTCCCTCTAAGATGAGTTGGTCTGAGCTAGCTCACAGATTTTTAGCCTCCAGCTCACAGATTTTTGTCTTAGCTCAGGAAGGATGGCTCCAAAGCAAACTGATTTATGCAGCAGCCAAATCGCTCGCTCACAACTTTAATGCCAGTAGCTCACAAAGTAGAATTTCTGCTCACAAGACTCCATAGCTTAGAGGGAACATTGCTCAGGACTGTAAATTATGGGTGCAAAAAAAATCTATAATCCACATTTCCTCCTCCCTGGACATAATTCCTTAAACCTCCATTAGCGCTCCAAAACATTTCAGCCTGACCTACTGGAATAATTTCACTTGCCCTTTCCCCAGTTCTAGAAGCCAACCCCCCCTCCTTTTTGGGACAGGGTGCCCAACCCAATCCAGTTGAATATTCTCCGTGCAAGGTGGAAGCTCGCAAGGGGCTGTTGCATCCTCGCCCATTCCCCCCCAGGTGACCCTAAAAAGGCACACCTGGCTGCTTGGATGCTAAAGTCAAGCTTCGCACCGAGGACGGACAAAGCCACGGGGCAGCCCCCGCTTGCCCCACACCGGCAGCCGGCGCCAGGACAGGCTGCAAGCAAACCCGGCCGTCGCCCTGCGCGCCTCGGCAAAGCTCACCTGCTGGTCGCACTCCGGACAGGACTTGGTGGCCATCTTCACTTTCTTGGCCCGGCCTGCAGACATGCTCCCTCGGCTGCAGCCGCTGCAGCTGCCAGCGGGGCTCGGCGAGGCGGAGAGCGCGAGCCGCCGCCCGGCATCTCCCGCAAGCTCGCGCCCGACGCCGGAATGGAAACAGGAAACGGTTGCTGGGCCCGCAAAGCCACGCCCCTCTCCCTCTCCCCGGCCTTCTCAATCGCAAAACTGGGGCGGGGCTTCAAGTGACAGTCAAGGTCGTCCCGCGCTGGGATTGGCTAGAAGGACGGGGGCGGGGGGAGAGACGGCTGGCGATTTCAGTCGCCTAAGGGAGGGCGATCGTTGATAAAAAAATACGGATATTATTCTTCCAGGACAATAGATGAAGATGAGCGGCAGCAGCAGCAGCAGAAAAAAGCAAGAGTCCAGTAGCACCTTAAAGACTAACAACATTTGTGCTAGGCCAGCTAGGGTATGAGCTTTCGTGAGTCACTGCTCACTTCTGCAGATACCTTTATATATAAATGTAAAAGTTTCCCTTGCTCGAAAGCCAGTCGAATCCGACGCCAGGGGGCGGTGCTCATCTCTGTTTCCAAGCCGAAGAGCCAGCGCTGTCCGAAGACGTTTCCTGGTCATGTGGTCAACATGACTAGTAGATGCCGAGGCGCACGGAACGCTGTTACTTTCCCACCGAAGCGGTACTTCTTTATCTACTTGCAATTTCTTGCTTTCGAACTGCTAGGTTGGCAGAAGCTGGGGGCAGAGATGGGAGCTTACTCTGTCAGGTGGCACTGGGGTCTGGTCTGCAACTCAGTGTCTTAACCTCTGAGCCACCCGCGGCCCATATACACACACACACACACATACATTTATATAACTTTATATCTTTTGTTTATGTTATACACGCACACACACACCTTTATATCTTTACCTTATTTATCCCTCTATCTATCTATCTGTCTGTCTGTCTATCATCTATCTATCTATCTTTCTATCTATAGAAGTGAGCAGTGGCTCATGAAAGCCCATCACCTGCCACATATTTTGTTACTCTTTAAGGTGCTGCTGGACTCTTGCTCTTTCCAGGACAATGACTTTTATATATTAACTGCTGTCACAGCTGGCTGCTCTATAAAAACACAAGTAGTAAGCACAGAAAATGAAGGAAGTTAGCACATGCTCGCAGTTTGTGAGAATTCCAAGAATCTCTTGTTTCCATTAAACAAGCAGGCTGGGCAGTCGGCTTAATAAAGCAAAGAATTCAGGATTCACAACAGGACCAGGATAAGGAGAGGTGAAGCACAATGGATGTGCAAATCAACTTCCCTCAGTAGGAAAGCCATTGAATTAAATGGGGATTACTGCTGTGTGTACCAGTTTAGGATTTCTCTCTGTGAGTCGGAGAGCCAGCATGCTGGAATGCCCAAGGTTCAGCTCTCTTCTCTGCCCTGGAAGCTTGCTGGATAACCTTGGAATAGTCACACACACTCAGCCTAACCTACCTCACAGGGGTGTTGTAAAGATAAAATGGAGGAGAGGAGAATAATGTAAGTTGCTTCGGATCCTCACTGGGGACAAAGATAGTGTAAAAATGAAGTAAATAAATAAACTGTGACCCTGCATGGGTTGTGTCCAGTGTTCCCTCTAAGCTGAGTTAGTGTGAGCTAGCTCACAGTTTTTTAGCCTCCAGCTCACACCTTTTTGTCATAGCTCAGGAAGGATAGCTCTGGAGCAAATTAATTTATGCAGTAGCCAAATCGCTGGCTCACAACTTTAATGCCAGGAGCTCACAAAGTAGAATTTTTGCTCACAAGACTCCACAGCTTAGAGGGAGCATTGGTTGTGTCCAGTTCTAAACTTTTACCCATTACATCACTTTTACCTTAATTTTTCCCCCTTCTATGAATTCTCAATTGTTAACTGAGAATCCTATAAATTCTACAGATTATATCTTTTGGGACTTCTTCCAAAGATGGAAGAACAAATGTTATGAGAGAACAGCATTTAAACCACAAAGGATGAATCATCTCCGTGTTTTTGTTTCTAACATTAGAATCCATTGTGGTTATCTATCTGTGTCCTCTTGATATATCCGTTCAGATTATATTCATTCATTCAATTTATAATTCATCATAAACAGAGCCCTGCTGATCAGTTGAGATATTTGTATATTTATCTAGTCTTAATTTGTACATTAAAATTACAGGAAGAGCCCTGCTGGTTCAGACCAGTGGTCTATCCAGTCCAGCATTCTGTTTCACACAGTGGCCAACCAGTTTGCCCCAGAAGGCCAACAACTGAACCAATTTGTATATTCAGCCTTCTTTTTGAGCTCTTGCCAGAATGTAAGCCTTTTCCTTCAAGATAAGAAAAAAACAACTAGAACTTTAAAATATAAGCATTTGAAAGGTTATATTTTCAACAGTTAGCTGCCTTGAGGGCCTGTATAGCTGGAAATGCCGTGCGTGAATATACTCAATCAATCAATCAACATAAACAAGGACAGAATGCCTATACATGCAGCATGTAACAGTGTCAATTTCTTGCATGATGCCTTTTCCAAATGGTTCACACAAGTTGTGGTGAAGACATGGCAGAAGAGAAGTAAACCTTTGCTACCTAAAGAGCAGGTAGAAGAAGAAGAGATTGGATTTATACCCTGCCCTTCACTACCCAAAGGTGTCTCAGAGTGGCTTACAAACTCCTTTCCCTTCCCCTCCCCACAACAGACACCCTGGGAGGTAGGCGGGGCTGAGAGAGCTCTGACAGAAACTGCTCTTTTTCAAGAACAGCTCTTATCAGAACTACGGCTTGCCCAAGGTCATGCAGCCAGGTGCAAGTGGAGGAGTGGGGAAATCAAACCCGGTTCTCCCAGATTAGAGTCCGCGCACTTAACCACTACACCTTCTGTAATTCTTCAGGGAGACTGGGATAATTATCCTTGTACTGCAACTGGGGAAAGTAGGATAGCTATCAACCTGGAGCAAAAAATGTCCTTCCCCTTTAACATAGGCTTAATCGTATAGTATTTACCAGGCTGATGTTATTTACCCCTGTGCCACGAAAAGCTTCAAATGCCCATTTCCACATGTTATGCTTCCCCCCCCCCTCTGGGTTGTTGGCAACTCTAGATAAAAGCCTTTCCTCTCTTCCAAGTCCGTGGCTGAGATTTGAACCAGGAAATTCCCAACCTTTATCATGCGATTAATAAGTATGTTACAATAACACACCCAGTTCTTGAAATCGTTAAAGCACAGTCCTAGTTGGAGTTGTACCCTTCTCAAGCCATTGAAGCCAATGAGATCAGAAGGCTGGAACTCTGGCTAGGATTGCATTGCTAATTATCTTTTCAAACGGTAGTACACCCTGTCTCTAATACCAAGTCTCCCTTTCTGCACACTGGGTGCAGGCTGCAGCATGTCATTCAAAGAGCCTTCCTGCTTCTGTGTATGAAGAAATAGCATCTTTGTTCTAAACTAGGACTGTAGCCAACGATACAGAAATATGCTGTGAATAGCCCAGGCAAGCCCGATCTCGTCAGACCTCGGAAGCTAAGCAGGGCCGACCCTGGCAAGTAATTGGATGGGAGACCTCCAAAGAATACCAGGGCTGGGACACAGAGACAGGCTATAGCAAGCCACTCCCCTGAATGTCCAGTTCCCACTAGGGGTTGCCAGAAGCCAGCCATGACTTCCAAGTATGCACGTACACACACACACACACACACACACACACAAAATACCCCTCCCCCTAAAATAAATATGCTGTACAGACATGAAAAGTGGGAGTCTGGTTCTTGAGTTTGGGGGCGGGAACATTAGTTATAAACATATTTAGTTATAAGAGCCACCGGATTTATTTTTAAATTATTGGGTACATCTATCAAAATGAAATGCTGTTTTCTCCTACTAGATTTGTCCTAGCCCAGGTTATGTTATGTGCGCACTGTGCTTCCAAGAAACAAAGCCAAGCCAAATGGATCACACCGCTATCGCTTTGGCATTGTTTTATGTAGATCAACATGACTATGTATCAGAGGTCATTTCGGGGGGATCGCGGGGGATCGCAGTTCCCCCGGGTGAGGTACGGGGGCGGGGCACATGACAAAGCCCCGCCCCCTGCTTCCGGCCGCCCCGCTTCCGGCCCTCATTCAGCCAGGAGGAGGCAGGAGAAGAGGGAGGGTAAGTTGCTTCCTCCCTGCCTCTCCCCACCCCTGCCTGCCTGGGGCCAGGGAGGGCCTTTGCGGGGCTTCCTTGCACTCCCGCCGGCCTTGCAGGTCCACCGCCGGGCCCCTCATGGGACTCGGCAGTGGAGCTGCAAGGCCGGCAGCGGCGGCCGGGACCGTTGGGGGCGGGGTGTGTGGCCATATGACACACTTCCGGTGATGTCAGGGTGTGTGGCATATGCTAATGAGTTATGCTAATGAGTTCCCCTAGCTCTTTTTCTACAAAACGACCCCTGACTATGTATAATTTTTTGTTTCAACCTCAAACTTTTTAGGGGGCTAATAGCTTTATCTATTGGGAATGGGAACCTTCCATTGATGTCGTGTTTTGCTTAAGTGTTATAATACATTGTCTGTTATGTTCATTTTCTCCTACTTTATTGACTTCTCTTTTCCCTCTGCCTTTACCCGGTCCATCTCAGACTGTATCAGTACAGAGTAGTGGTGGCAGAAAGTGCTGTCAAGTTGCAGCTGATTTATGGCAACCCTGTAGAGTTTTCAAGGCAAGAGATGTGCACAGAAGTGATTTGCCATTACCCGCCTCTGTGTTGTGACCCTGGATTTCGTCGGTAGTCTCCCATCCAAATACTAACCAGGGCCAACCCTGCTTAGCTTCCTAGATCTGATGAAATCAGGCTAGCCTGGACTGTCCAGGTCAGGGTTAAACAAAGCCAAGCCCACTGACTTCAATGGATGTTGTAACTTTGTTTAGGATTGCACTGGATGGCTACTAAGTAGAGGTCATATCGACTCTCCTATTGGTACACTTGTAATCTAAATAAATATTTAAGTTGCATTACCTAAGACCCTGATGCTGGGTAAGATTGAAGGTCAAAGAAGACGGGGACGGCAAAGGATGAGATGGTTAGACAGTGTCATAGATGCAACGAACATGAAATTGAGCAAACTTCAGAGGATGGCGGAAGACAGGAAGGCCTGGCGGGATCTGGTCCATGAGGTCGCGAAGAGTCGGACTCCACTGTGCGTCTGAACAACAACAACAACAACAACAACAACAACCTAAGATGTGATGCAGGTCTTTTCTGACATGCGCACATTTCAGAAGCCATCCAAAATGGGCCAGTATATCTTCAGTGCACAACCTTGTACCATTGGGAGTATGTAAATTTGCAACACTGTAATGGAATGATAACAAAAAGCAGAGGTTTTTTTAAAAAATGCATTTTTGTCTCTTAGTTCACTCAACCCAAGCAAGCTCTTTGTGCAATACTCAGCAAGAAGCTTCAAAAAATGGTAGACACAGATCACTATTACGTCAGTGTTTCACGAAGGATACAGCACCATCTGCAAACAGTTCTGATGAAACATCAGAGATTACTGGCAAACAGACTGAGGCAAGACTATCCAGATGGATTTTTGCATGGTGCTAGCATTTTAACCCTCGTCCCAATCTTCCTGCAACTAACAAGGTTTGGTTCTAGTCCTGTACATGATTCTGAGTTCCATAGACGAAATAGAAACAGAATAAGTAAATGCATTACCAAGATTCTGCTTCAAAATGCTTGTAAACTATCTAAGTCTATATAAAGCCTCTTAAAGATGAGACTTGTTGAACCCTAAAGACAAACGTGTTTTCATTCTAGAAACAATCACTGTAAGCAATACTAAGAATACTTTCCCTATTAAATATACTTGACTTGAGTAGGATTCTGAATAGGCTTGGGATAACTCTATATGTATTTCTATCGGGAGAGCTTGTGTATGAAAATCTGTAGAAAGTGTTATCAAGTCATAACTGAGCTATAGCGCCCCCATAAGATTTCCAAGGCAACAAACATTCAGTGGTGGTTTGTGTAACCAGCCTGGTCTTCCTTGCTGGTCTCCCGTCCAAGTACTAACCAGGGCAGACCGTGCTTATGTTCTGAGGTTGTGTGTGTTGGAAAATGTTCAAATCTAAGACTGGTGGGGGACTGTTAGAATTACAGACTTTACAGACAGAATAAGTAAATGCATTACCAAGATTCTGCTTCAAAATGCTTGTAAACTATCTAAGTCTATATAAAGCCTCTTAAAGAAGAGACTTGTTGAACCCTAAAGACAAACGTGTTTTCATTCTAGAAATAAGCACTGTAAGCAATCCAAAGAATACTTTCCCTATTAAATAGACTTGACTTGAGTAGGATTCTGAATAGGCTTGGGATAACTCTATATGTATTTCTATCGGGAGAGCTTGTGTATGAAAATCTGTAGAAAGTGCTATCAAGTCATAACTGAGCTATAGTGCCCCCATAAGATTTCCAAGGCAACAAACATTCAGTGGTTTGTGTAACTAGCCTGGTCTTCCTTGCTGGTCTCCCACCCAAGTACTAACCAGGGCAGACCGTGCTTACGTTCTGAGACAGATTAAACTAGCCTGGACTATCCAGGTTAGGTGAGGTTGTGTGTGTTGGAAAATGTTCAAATCTAAGACTGGTGGGGGAGTGTTAGAATTACAGACTTTGCAATCTCTGAAGTACATCACCTCTATGGTCTATTATTCAAACGTATTAATTTTATTTTCATTTTCATCATCATCATCATCGTCGTTGTTGTTGTTATTGTTTTTGTTGTTGTTAATTTCCACCTAAACAGAGTCCTCAAATGTGTTCCAATCTGATAACAGTTTTTGCACCGGCTCCGACCGCAGTTTTTCATGCTGGAATTGTGAGTCTTGGCAGGAGAATGGATAACGTCTAAATTCATCAAATCAACCCTCCCTTTTTAACCGCAGTAGTTATAACAATATAACATAGTATGGTGTAAATCCCCCAAATCTAGAACAAAAGTCCATTCCCAAAGGTGGCGTGATCTCCCATCATCCCGCCCCCATCCCCCCCACCCCCCAAACTCCTTTCTCGATCCCTCTCCATCCCAGCCTCGCAGTACAAAGAAGAGGCATCTTCCCCGGCGGAGCGACAGGACGGAGGCACTCTGGGTGCAGTAGTTTTCTCCCTGGCCACCTGACGGCATGGGCTGGCGCAGCCTGGGGCTTATAAGAACTACCCGCCCCACCAGGCAGTGCGGCTGCAAGCTTCGGTTGGTGCAATCTATTACCTCCCGCCGACGGTGGTGGGAAGGCGAGACTTGAAGACGGTGTGTCGCTCCCGTCGAGTTGAATGGGTTGGGGCGGCTTTTAAGAATCCGCATCGTTTTCCTCTGGGGCTTTTTGCGTCTGCGGAGAACCCGCTCGCTGCAATGATTAGGACTCTTTGCTAATTGGGTAAGATTAAGGGTAGCCCCCCCGTCCCCTCCCCTTTTTGGCCGGTGCTAAACTCTGCCCCCTTGCAAGTTGCCAGAAGCGAAAGAAAAGGCTGCAAGCCAAGCGAATCGCAGCATGCACTTGTCCGCGCCTCTGGGCTGATGAAGAGGTCTTGAGCTCGCTCCTCCCTGGCGGCTGCCGGAGATATTTTTGGGAGAAAGACTTTTTTTTAAAAGGGGGAGCCTGATTTTTTTTTTCCTTCCCCTTTTGCACAAAAACTCGCTTGGGGGGAACGAGGAGCATGCATCGCTTTTCCGGGCTCGCCAGGGAAGCCTCGGCTCTCCCGGGCTGCAGGACGGAAAGGAAAGAGCCGGCCGTGCGGTTCCTGGCGTCGCTGGTAACCGGTACCCAGCAGCAGCAGCGGAACCCCGGGCCCCACCGTCGCCCGCTGGGCAGAGAGGGGCCGGTGCGCTGGAACAGCGCCGCCAAGGCCTCGGCCGTGAAGCTCCAGGAGAAGCCGGCCCGGGAGAAGATCCTGACGCTGGAGTCCATGAACCCGCAGGTGAAGGCGGTGGAGTACGCCGTGCGGGGCCCCATCGTGATGAAGGCGGGCGAGATCGAGAAGGAGCTGCGGAAGGTACGCGGGGATGGAAAGCCTTGGGGCCGCTGCAGAGGCCGGCTGCTCGGGCAAGGGGATCGGGGATGCACGCGTCAGACTGCTTTGCCGCGGGCACCCTCCCATTTCCTCCCTCCTCCCCGGTTCGCCACTGATCTCTGGCTCGTCCCTTGGAATGGCTTGGCAGGGGCGCAGGCCAAGCGCCACTCTCCAAATTGCGCCACTCTCCAAATTGCGCCGCAGGGGCTTGGAGCAGCCAAAGTGCGGGTTTTCCCCCTCCTCCCCCCTTTAATTCCACCCACCACCACCCCTTCTGCCGGTTTTGCTGCCGGCCTGGGCCGCCGCCCCCTTGGGCCACTCCTCCGCCGCCGCGGCTCCTGTTTGGGGCAAGCGAGAGACCCGACCGGCCGAGCGCGCCGCCAGGAAGGCGCGCTGCTTCCTGCAGCTTTTCCGCCCATCGGTAACCCCGGGGGCACCCTGGCGCTGCGGGGAATGTGGCACTGGCGATCCCCCAGGCTTGAGGGACGGAGTCCCCGGGGGGGGGGCACAGGAAGCTGCCTGATACTGAAGGGGCCCATGATCCAGGGCCGGCCCCAGCTTATTTTGCACCCTAGGCGAGGATCCCTTCTGGCACCCCCCACATGCGCCCACCAATTTTCAAAAATAAATGCATTTTAGGAAGAATGAAAAATACAAATATTCGAGAAACTCCCAGAGTAGGGGCGGGTGCAGCTTGGTACCCATAAGGGCGGCTCGCTCTAGGCGATTGCCTAGTGAATGAGCCGGCCCTGGGCCCATCAAGATCAGTATTGCTTGCTCAGACTGGCAGCAGCTCTCCAGGGTCTCAGCTGAGGTCTTTCGCATCCCTTTTAACTGGGGGTGCTGGGGGTTGAACCTGGGACCTTCTGCGTGCCAAGCAGGTGCTCCACCACGGAGCCATGGTCCTTCCCCTGAATGGGACACTCTGATGTATACTGCATCAGACTTTTGGTCCATCGAAGTCAGTATTGTCTACTCAGAGTGGCAGCTGCTCTCCAGGGTCTTGGTCACATCACCTGCTGCCTGGTCCTTTCAACTGGAGATGCCAGGGATTGAATGGGACCTTCCACATGCCGAATAGGTGCTCCGCCACTGAGCCAGGGGCCGTCATATGTTGGTGTCTGCTTCCAGTATATTACTTTCCCTCCCGAATTCTGTTGCTCCTTGAGGATTTGGAAATAGTAATCTGTTGCCACTAGGTAACATTTTTAGGTTAGCCGTGTTTGAGCCCAGGACCGCCTTTGAGACCAGCAGGATTGGGGGGGGGAGTGTAACGGGCAGGGCTATTTTTGGGCAGGAGCGCACAGGAATGGAGTTCCGGCTGGCTCCCGAGTTAGCCATGCCCAGCAGGAACTAATTAGCATAATAGGCCATACCCAAAAGCAGAAACTCCTTAGGATTGGCTACATTAGGGGTGTGTGGCCTAACATGCAAAGGAGTTCCTGCTACAAAAAACCCCCTGGGTTTTGGCCACAAACAAGGTCAACAGAATAAGAAGCAAAAGGTGGGCGTGGCTGGATGACCACACTTCTGGTAACATGGGGTGTGGCCTAATATGCTAATGAGCTGTGCTGTCGGGGTGTGGCCTAATATGCTAATGAGTTTCTGCTGTTGGGTGTGGCCTATTATGCTAATGAGTTCCTGTTGGGCTTTTTCTACAAAAAGAGCCCTGGACAGGCCTTCAAGAGTCAAAGCTCCCTTGGCCAGCTACTTGAAGGGAGTATCTGGTGACTCTTCAGAGCACAAACTCCAAAAATCTTGTTGGCCTCCAGGGTTCTACTGGAGTTGAATCTACCAGTTCTATGGCAGACCAACCTGGCTACTCTCTGAAACTGTATGTAGGTTATGTAGTATTACTGTTATTGGAACATAGGTTTCTGCCCTCAAAGAGCTTACAATCTGAAGCACGCAGCGGGAGAAACCAATAAAGGGAAGGGTGAATTATGGGCAAGTGTGCTTTTGTGTACTTAAAGCTTTGTTACAGTTGGGAAGAAGGATTCCAGGGGTAAGCCAAAGTGACAGTATTTATATGACACTTGGGGAGTGTTTACATTTTGATTTGCAAGGTGCTTCATAGCCCTCGTCGTGCGTCACTCTCACAGTAGCGTTGCCGAGCAGAACTGCTGTGGTTCTGTCTATCTCTCCATCTAGTGCTGCTCATACGGCTATCACCTTAAGAAGAAATTAGAACCAAGGAAAATATTTTAAAAGACCTTACTCAGTATTATTTCTCTTATAGTTGATTACCGCGCCAATGAATTTTGCCACTGAGAGGGTGACACAATCATTGGTCAACAGTGGGAGGGCTTCTAATGTCCTGGCCCCACTGGTGGACCTCCTGATGGGGCTCTTTTTGTAGCAGGAACTCCTTTGCCTATTAGGCGACACACCCCTAATGTAGCCAGTCCTCCAAGAGCTTACAGTAGCCCGTAAGAAGAGCTCTGTAAACTCTTGGAGGATTGGCTACATTAGGGGTGTGTCACCTAATAGGCAAAGGAGTTCCTGCTACAAAAAGAGCCCAATTTCTGGCCACTGTGTGACACAGAGTGTTGGACTGGATGGGCCTTTGGCCTGATCCAACATTGGCGTCTCTTATGTTCTTATCCGATAGTAGCCATGACACCTGGGCTCGCGCATTTAGCAGTTCCATATCTTTAAGTAAAGGGCTGACTAGATTAGCCCTCAACTCATCGAATATCGGGCACTCCATAATCATATGTTCAGTGGTTTCGATCGTATGATACGAGCATCTGCATGTTCTGTTCGAGTATGATACTTTTATTATATCTGCCCTCCAAAACTGCCGAGGGAAGAACGTTCAGTCTTGCCAAAGTAAGAGCTCTTCTTAGTTTTGGGACTTTCGACTGATAAAAATATTTCGGCAGTTGCATCGGGAGGGCAATTCCCAAATGAAGTGTCCAGCGTACCCTGCGCGCCCTAATAGACGTACTTGTAACCAATGCTCCCACTAAGCTGTGGAGTCTTGTGAGCAAAAATTCTACTTTGTGAGCTACTGGCATTAAAGTTGTGAGTGAGCCACTCTGAGCCTCCTTTGGGTAGTGAAGGGCGGGATCCAATCTTTTTCTTCTCATCCCTTTAGAATAAAGAAACTTGAGCACAATAGGCTTTAATGAAGTGCAGTTTTACTCAGAAGTAAACAACTACGGAGTTCAGTGAGGTTTCCTCTCTTGCAACTGCAACAGTTGTATATCCACCATCTAGATTATATTCCATGGATTTCAGTGGAATTTACTCATTGATTTGATGATATTAGGAGCTGCGGTGGCTCAAGTGGTTAAGACGCTGAGTGCGCCTTGGTGTTTAGTCATGCCGGCCACATGACCACGGAAACGTCTTCGGACAGCGCTGGCTCTTCGGCTTTGAAATGGAGATGAGCACCGCAACCCTAGAGTCAGACTCGACTGGCTTTCGCGCAAGGGAACCTTTACCTTTACCTTGATGATATTAGAATTGCCCTGCCCATCAACACATTAAAGTGGAGGTGAATTCTTTTGTATAACTATGTTTGTGGTCAGGATGAAACAGTTTCTGCTGTTTTCAAACCAATGAAGCGTTTTTATATATTGACAAGTGTTTGGTTTTCCATAATACTTTGAGAGAATGGCCGCACTCAGACATGACACTAAACCATGGTTTGATTGAACTCTGGTTTAGTGTGATGCTCAAGTACTCGGCCAGACCTCTAGTTCTGGCTTGGCCACAAACAGGAATTCTTCATCAAGGTGACATCTCAGTTTCTGAATTTTGGCTCATAGTAACTGGCCAGTTATGTCTGAATGCAGGAATCCCGGCTTAATTCTGACTTGTATGGTGGGGTGGCACACAGGGGCATATGAAAAGAGACATAACAAAGATCAATGAAAAAATGTTCTACAAAATGTCTACCAAAGCAAACAGAAATATATGAACCTGCAAATCCTGAGGGAGAAAAACCCGTGATTCCTATAGCAGTTGGACTTCGAGGACATGAATGGTATTCATATATGCCTTCCAATAAACCATATAATTTGTATCAGTAGCACTTCGGAGTCTGCTTCTTTCTACTGACAGTTCTGTACCCACCTGGGCGTTAATAACCCATAAGAAATAGAGGCCTTCTGCTTAGGGAGACCAAATTAATAAATCACAGCTAAGGTAAAGGTTCCCTTGCTCAAAAGCCAGTCGAGTCCGACTCCAGGGTTGTGGTGCTCATCTCCGTTTCAAAGCCGAAGAGCCAGCGCTGTCCAAAGACGTTTCCGTGGTCATGTGGCCAGCATGACTAAACACCAAGGGGCACGGAACGCTGTCACTTTCCCACCGAAGTGGTACCTATTTATCTACTTGCAATTTCTTGCTTTCGAACTGCTAGGTTGGCAGGAGCTCCTGGAACTAGAGACGGGAGCTCACTCCATCATGCGGCACCCGGGTCTCGAACTGCTGAACTACTGACCTTCCGCAGTCTGCAGTTCAGCGTCTTAACCACTTGAGCCACTGCAGCTCCTACACAGCTACAAAGTGGCAAAAAAAAAGGTATCTTGCTGTACTCAGCTCTGGCCAGCAGCAGATAAACTGGCGTTTCTGAACAGATTTATGGTTAGTTTCAGTTGTGTGCTGCACGAAGCATTAGTTCAGTAAAACCGCAGTTTAACCTAACCACGGTTGTTTGCAGCCAGTGTTTTCAAAAAGGGTCTTTGTGTTTTATTCTCTGTGCTAAGTGCTGTCAGGCTGCATCTGACTTACAGCAGCCCTGTGAATTCGTGATCTCCAAAATGTCCTGTCTTGCGGACCGAAGTCCGTGGCTTCCCATCTCCTGCTGGGTCTTCCTCTTTTCCTGCGGCCCTCAACTTTTCCAAGCATTATTGCCTTTCCCAAAGAGTCTTGTTTTCCCATTATGTGACCAAGTACAACAGCCTCAGTTTAGTCATTTTTAGCTTCCAGGGAGAATTCAGGCCTGATTAGCTCTCGAACCCACTTATTTGTGT